TGTGTGTGTGTGTGTGTGTATGTGTGTGTGTGTGTGTGTGCATGTGTGTGTGTGTGTGTGTGTGTGTGTGTGTGTGTGTGCATGTGTGCATGTGGTGAAACATCAAACCTGAAGGCAGGGGATCTTCTTGTTGCCCGATGGCGCTGACACTTCTGGTTCCCACTACCTCATTGGTTATTATCATAATCTCTCTACGAGATCTACCGTTTGCTTATTCAGTGGCGGTTAGTTTGAGGGCACCACTGGGAGGCTCTACGTCTGTGCTTTCCCTCTGTTATTTCTGTCTGTCTGTCTTATTTTTTCCCAGCACTACGTCATGACCAGACGGTATTGTGTCGATGTGCGTCTCTTTACTCAAACGAACAAAAGCTTATTCTGCATTTTTAAAATGTTGAACTCCTTTTGGGACATGACCTGTGCTGCTTCTCTGGGGTATTTTCGACACAGTGGCACAAACTTTACTAATAGCCTCCTCCTCCCCCCCCCCCTTTCTGATACTTCGACATATTTGCGTAATTTTTGTTAGTTCTCCCATCATATTTTCGAAAAAATGGCTTGTTCTCTCTGGTATTTTTGACACAGTTGTGCAGACTTTGTTGATGCCCCGCCCCCTTCTGATATTCTACCCCTCAAAAATCCCTCAAATTTTGTTGCTTCTCCCCTGATATTTTCGTCAAAAATGCTCTAACCTCAACTTCTCTGTCACTCTCCTCCCTCCCCCCCTCCCCAGGTGTTCATGAAAGAAGCGTTCGAGCAGCGGCTGGATGTGGAGACACTGAGGATCCAGAGACATGCCGCCATCAAACTACAGACCTACATCCGGATGTTCATCGCGTACAACAAACACCAGAGGCTGCGCAAGTCCACACAGACGATACAGAGGATGTTGAGGATGTGGAAGACTAGGTGAGTGGTGGAGGAGGAGGGGGAGGAGGAGAAGGGGGAAGAGGAGGAGGATGAAGGGATGGAAGGGAGAGTTTGGACAGAGAGTCTGAGAGAGAAAGAGAAAGGGAGAGACGGATTCTCTCTCTCTCTCTCTCTCTCTCTCTCTCTCTCTCTCACACACACACACACACACACACACACACACACACACACACACACACACACTAAACTATCGCAGAAAAGATCTTAACAAAGGAGAATCCATCCGAAAGTTACCCCTTTGATGACGAGCGTTCAGGTCATGAACGCTGGAAGACTTTGTTTCAGCCCTTTTGAAAAGAAGCAGAACTTCTTTATCGATAGAGTTATTCAATACTGTTTTCTTTTTATGAAAACCAACATCTCAAACGAATTGGAGTAAAGCAGTTTGCTGCCTGCCCACTATGTGACTACCCCTCAGAGACAGTGGAACATCATCTGTTCTTCTGTAGAAAACTAACTGACTTAAGGGGATGTTTTCTTCCCAAGCTACCCCACACATCTAACTGCCTCTACTCCTCAAGACAACAATTAGAACAAACATGCAACTATTACCGAATGGCATCATGCAGAAGAGTTAACGCTCAGATGCTACTGGATCGCCAACAACAACAACAACAACAACATGAAAACTTAAAGGCAACCAACAAGATCCACAATATTAACTGTACAAATTTGTGTTTCTGATTTGTGTTTGGTGGTTCGAAATGTGTCGTGACATTGTCTTTAATCTACTGCTGACCTGACGTTAATGTGCCCATGACATCCTTAAAGACATAACGCGGTTCTGGGAACTGGATT